CTACAAATGGCCTCTGCTGTTGACTTATTATCTCCAGTTATTACCATAACTCTAATCCCAGCGTCCTTACAATCCCCAATTGCTCTATGAACCTCCTCACGGGGAGGGTCCTGAATGATCAAGACAATTATTATGAACTAATGAATGTCCTAAAAAGTTGCATTGCATGACAAAAGAGTGATCACAAACTTACCCTTAAGCCAACAATGCCAACAAAAACTAGATCACTTTCAATGGATGAGTAGTATGTTGGATCAAGCAATTTCTTGTGAGCAGGATGAGTTTCAGCATAGTAATCTGAAAATTCTCCCAAGTCATCGTTGAATGCAAAACCTAAGCAACGCAATCCCTTTGAACTCATTTCCTGGAGTCTTTGAAGAAGTATTTCCCTACATTGATCATCTATTGGAACCAAGGATCCATCAGCAAGTTGCACGTGTGAACTACGCTCCAGTAAACTCTCAACAGCACCCTGTGATTCAACCACTTTATAACTTAAAAAGCAGCACTAGAATACTAGATGAAACCTTGCATAGAAAGCCGTCCCAGTTTGTTAATAGGGAATATCAAAACAACTCTCAATTTACTCAAGGAGACATTTTACCATTAACGCCAAATAAAGATAATCTTTCTACCTATTGAAACATACCCCACAAGTTAAGAATTAGTGAGACACAAATAAAAAGCCATTATGTTAAGCACTGAAAAAGTTGAGTTTAAGAATTGAAGGAAAAAAAACATAATAATAACATCAGGCAAAGAAAGTAGAGATGTATAAAAAAATGTGGCACAAGAGACAAAAAGGTCACTGTCAAATTTAATCATAAGAATTCAATAATCAGGCTCAGCATGATAAACCCTTTTGGCCCCTTTCTGCCCAACTTGGAAATATAGTCAAAATACGTTAGCCTAGCCCTTTCTACTTGTTTTAGAAAATTTCACATGCCATTTCTACATATGTTAGTACATTACACAGAAAGAAAAGTATAAAATATGCGAAAATAGTGAAAGTTGCTAATGGTATATCTTTTGACTTTTAGCTATGCAGCATAATATCATTTATTTATTCAAATGATAGTAAATGGTTTATATAAGATCCAATTATAAATACTTATTTTGACCATTGATAATTTTAATTATGCAACTAAATCAATAGAATTAGCAATTTAATATAATCTTAACCTAAACGGTAAAATTCCCAATTATTCCAAAACCTAACTCATAGGCACTTTTTTTACAATTTCGTTCTCTCTCCGAGATCATCATTCTTACAAATTAAATATATATTTCTCATCCTCAACATATACTGAATCTAATGGGATCATCAATTTCTCAAATAGAAATAATCCAATTTTTTCCAAAACCTAGCCTGCAGGCACTTTTCTATAATTTCGTTTTCTCTCTCAAATCATCATTCTTACAAACTAAATATATATTTATAATCCTAAATATATACAGAATCACATAAGACCAATAATTCTCTAAACAGAAGTAATTATAAAATTACTCATAATCCTACGAGCTTCCTTTTCTACCCAAATCCCTCATGTAACTTTGCATACAAATAATCCCCTTTTCCCCCGTACCTTGATAAGTAGTAGCTGAACCTACGCAAGATCTGGTTGGTCTCCCTTGCTGGGTTCCCTCGGTCTGAAGCAAAAAGTAGAGGGAAAGAAGAGAGAGCAGAAAAGAAAAGAAATCAGAAAATGATAAGTGTGTCTTTTAGGAGTGACAGAGTGCTCTATTTATAGGAATCAGGCTTCGCGGAACGGACTGTTCCAAATCCGGAACAGCTCGTTCTGAAATCTCACATCATGTGTAAAACTCGCATCCAGAATGGCCCGTTCTCAAACCAGAACGGCCTGTTCTAGGTTGTAATTAAACCCATAACGGCCATATTTGGAACGGCCCGTTCTCATCTCTAGAACGGCTCGTTCTCATCTTTGGAATGCCTCGTTCCAAACTAAGAATCATAGGCAAATTTAATAGTTTGGAACGGCCCGTTCCAATTCCGGAACGGCCTGTTCCGGGCTACCAAAAGTGGGTCTAGTTAGTATTTTAGAACGGCCCGTTCCGGCCTACTAAACCACCTTAATTGGGCTATTGACCCAGTGAAAATTGGGCTATTACACAACCAGAGAAATTTGAGAGAGAAAGGAGCTCATAGACCTAGAGTTCTTTTCTCTAAAACTTCTCCCTAGTTTCGTTGAGAATGAACTTATGAAGTTCCCTTCTCAAAGAAACCCTTATATATTATTCTCTCTCTAGAGTCAACTAAACTCAAAAATCTCTTCACTACATTACAACTATAGTCATGTTTAATTAAAAAAATCAACTAATCATTTGCTTTTACAAAAACATAGTAAAGTTGAGATAATGAGATATTAAATTAGAGTTTTTTATAGTTTAAATTTACATTTATTAAATATTTTTAATCATGTATATTAAGTTTAAAGGATTAAAAATTTAGGAAAAAAAATATAACGATTAAAGGTTTTGATAAGTATGAAAAGTTTTCAAGTAATTGTAAGGATAGAACTGGATAAAAAAAAATTGTACACCAAACTACCCATATATATAAAAAAGTAGCGATTAATAAAAAAATTAAAAAAAGTGAGGAAGTTTAGACAATTTTTTTTATCTTATATTTTCTTTAACATTCTTTTACTTGTAACAAATGTACTTAACTTAACCTAAGAGTAAATGTTTTATATCCAGTTTCGATGATTCAACCGTTAAATTATAAGTTCTTAAAACATTGATCAATTTTACAAATGTTTAAAAAAAATTAAAAATATTTTGATACTCCATCTTATTAATTCAAATTGACAGATAATCATAAAAATATTTTATACATTGATTTAAATTTATATAATGAAGTGTCAAATAATTTTTATATTTTGTAAAAATTTGCATACTTGATTTACATATTAAATTTTGGTAAAATTAATTTACACCATAATTCATGTTGCATATTAAATTTCAATAATCTAACTCATAAATCAAAAAGTTATTCATATATAGATTAAGTCTTCAAATTTATAAAAAAAATTAAAATTTATTTAATACTTCATTTCAATAATTCAAATTAATAGATAATCATAAAAATATTTTATATGTTGATTTTAGTTTATATAACAAACTATTATATGATTTTTAATTTTTTTCATTTTGTAAAGACCCGGCTGGTCGCTACATACAACACAGTACACTTGAAAACCAGAAAGAAAGGAGCAAGTGTATACATATAGTGTCTAGAATATACATATATACATGGTCCAAGTCTGACTAGATTCAAAATGTACAAAAATACATCCACAGCTACTACACCAAGTAGCTGAAACAACAAAACATCAACAAGGATCAGCTCCGCCTACCAGCTGCAGACTCATCACTAGCCACCACCTATCCCTGCTCTGCTCCCATACATCGTATGATCATCGCAATCCAAACCACACGGAAACAACAAAGGGTAAGCTAGTGAAAAGAATTAGCATATAAACATATACATGAAATATGAACAACTACAACTTATCAGCACAACATCAATATACACCTCATCAACTATATAGCGTAAACAATAATAAGCACACAATGCGTCGTCACGCATATCATCTCGGAGATCTCCTACAACAACTCAGCCTTATGGCCTACAACAACTCAGCCTTACGGCCTACAACAACTCAGCCTTACGGCCTACAACAACTCAGTCTTACGGCCTACAATAACTCAGTCTTACGTCCTACAACAACTCAGTCTTTCAGCCTACAATAGTTTATATCAGCATACAACACAGCACATCTTACAGCATGCAGCAACATCAGCTTACAGCACGGCACAGCTCATCAATATACATCTGATACGGCTCAACTCAGCAATAAACATCTAGTAAAGCTCAACATCACAATTCTACATCCTCAACTAAAATCAACACAGCATATTCATTAATTTCAGCTCAGGTCGGCATAAAACAACATTTTACAACATCTATCAGCATATAGTAAAACATCACCTCCGCGCCCGGCGCAATCTTGGTCGCGCCCAGCGTGGCACAACTAGAGAGCACTAGGGGCCATCGCGCCCAGCCCAAGCATGCCCGCGCCTGGCAGGACCATCCAGAGAGCCTAAGGCTCACCCGCGCCTGGCGCAATACCAATTGTGCCCAGCGCATGCCAGGCAGAGACTCCATGGAGTCTCACGCGCCCAGCGTGGGGAAGGCAGAGACCTCCCTTGGTCTTGCGCCCAGCGCAATTCAAATTGTGCCCAGCGCCCTCAAGGTAGAGACTCCCAAGGAGTCTCACGCCCAGCGCGACAAGGGTCGCGCTCAGCGCAGAATCAAAATGCCCAAAACAGGTTACAACTGGTATCGCGCCCAGCGCGGTCCAAGTCACGCCCAGCGCAGACCAACCAGAGACCCACATTCTCATGCGCGCCCGGCACACCCATCATTGCGCCTGGCGGGCTTGCCTAAATGGAGTCCCCTGGTGGCCACGCGCCCGGTGAAAAGAACGGCGCTCAGCGCGAAGCTCAGCAACAACTTCACCAAGTTCGAAAGTTTGCCCAAAACCTGCAAGAATCCATTTTCCAGCACATGCAATCCAGCCAAGATACCACATTTTCATCCAAGAGTTCAAAGATAACATTTTTTTACACATGCATCCACAAATCAAAGAAAAACCAAGAATTTTCTCAAAACCCCAAAGACCCCAAAAACTCCAATTTTCACCCTATCAGTAAAGAATCAACAATCATAAACAACCAAATGAGTTCTTAGACCCATTTTCAGCCAAGACGCAACAAGAAAACTAGCTTCCCTTACCTTGGCAAAGATTCTGAGCTTCCGGGAAGAGAAACGGAGAAGAAGAAATGTGAAGAAGAGAGCTTGAGAAAAGAGAGTTTCCACACGGATCAGCTAGCTCCTCTAATCTTGATCAGCACCTACACACCCAGAGAGTCCTGAGAATTGAGACCAAAAGCAAGCAAAAAAGGAAAGAGAGAATTGAGAGTGAGGCTTCTTGAGTTTGGGAAAGAAAAGAGAAGGGAAGGTGATGGAGTTTAGGTTGAAGCAATGGATGGATTCTTGCTTCTTGTGTCCTTCTCCGAATTTGAAGACCTTTTCCTTGAGCTTGCCACAGATTAGATGATGGAAGAAGATGATTGAAATGATAGGAGAAGATCCCTAAGCTATGGATGGAAGCATCCAAGCTCAAGAACCAAAAGAAAGCTCACTTTCAAGTTTAGGAATGGAGGTTTTCCTAGAACTAGGGAAGGTGAGATTTCGGTGACCTTTGAGAGAATTTGGGCTGAAGTAAAATTCAGAAATTCTCATTCATCAAAAGTGAATACAAGTTGTGAAGGATCATGCATATATAGGTTCAGCTAGGGAAGCATTTTGGTGCCAAGATTCAAACACCACATGTGGCGCCAAGATTTGAATTCAAATTTGAAATTTGAATTCAAATCTTCACTCCCATGTGCAAGTCCGTGGATCTAGGTGCCCTCATGCATCTTAATTTGATTTAGGAAGCATTTAGGGTTGATTTGGCTAAGCACATGGTCATCCACAAGTGGCACCATCCATGTGATCCCAAATTCAACTTAAATGCCTTCTAAATTAAATCTAGTTTAGCCTAATGAACCTATTTAAGTAATCCCTCAATAATCCTAATCTAATGGCCTAAATACAATGGCCAAGCAAATACAATGGAAAGGAAAAATTACAAGAATGAAAATGAGCCCAATATTGGGTACCAAAAGCCCAAAGGCCCATGAAGCCCAAAACTAGGCCCAATAAGCCTATAGCCTAAAATGTTATCCTATATGGTCCAAAATACAAGACCCAAAATATAGAGAACCTATACTAACATGGTATATACAAGATATAAGAAAATAGCTAAAACAAGATATGGCCCATGAGAAGCTCAACTTGGGCCTTTCAAGCCCTATCGGGCCCATTGGGCCTTGACTGGCCCAATCCTCCATGTCTAGCCCACTCCTCTTGGCTCCTTCAATATGTCACCCCTTGCTTTCCTAAGCATGATTCCATCAGAAGGGGGTCTCACAACCTCCCCAATAACAAGAGTTTTCGTCCCGAAAACAGACTTACTTGGGAAA